TTCTATTCTATTCTATTCTATTCTATTCTATTCTCTATCCCGTTCCACCCCATCCCATCCCATTTTATTTAAATTCTATTCCTATATCCTTCTATTCTATTCTGTTGCACCCTATGACTGTTATTAAGTGTTGTACCTGATGATTGTTGACTCTTGAAGAATGTATCTTTGTTTTTAATGTACACTGAGAGCATTTGCACCAAAGATGAATTCCTTCTGTGTCCAATCACACTTGGCCAATAAAGAATTCTATTCTATTCTATCTGGATGGAGGGCAAGACCTCAGGTCCTAGACAGAATGCCCGTCTATAGCAGCAGAATTAGTGGAGAACGGGAAGGTTTAATCTTGGATTTAATCTTGTCAAGGCAGCCATTTGTTGGGATGGTCTGAGGTCTCCTACCTTGGACAGGAGGCTGGATTAGAAGACCTCCAAAGTCCTTTCCATCTTGCTGTCAGGATTCCAGCAATCACTCTAATTAAATCATGATTCTTGAGCCAAACTTCAAAAAAACTTCAAAGGATCCATTAGAGGCGACCGACTGGCCCTGCCCTGCATGAAGCCAACTCTGGCCTACCTCATTTATAGTCCCCTGGGACCCTGTTTCTCCCCTCCCCCCCCCGGGTGTCTCATCAACCAGGTTCTCCCATTGAGCCCATTCATGGGCTGGGTGTCATCAATCACGTTCTCCAATGAAATATATTCATGGGCAAAAGCTCCGGTAGTTTAGTTACAATCCTTTAAAGAGAAGAGTTGGAATGTGGAAGAGTTGGAAGAGTTTTGCTTTCAAACTGCTGCACGGCTCTTCCAGATTTCCTCCACCCCCCTTTTTTATGGCAACTACTAAAACAGGCAGAGGAATGTTTTCTGAGTTGACATTCGGCTCCTCTCACTTCTTGAAGGTGACCTGTATTAAGCAAAAACAAATTGAGTGCAGATATAGAATTTAGGGTTGCTATAAGGTGATCAGCCTGGATGTTCCTACTCTACCCAGGACGCCTCTGATAATGGGTAGCCCTTCCACTTGATTTGCTGTCAGGATTCCAGCAATCGCTCTAATGAAATCATGATTCTCGAGCCAAACTTCAAAAAATTTGAAAGGATTTAATTGAGGCGACATACTGGCCCTGCCCTGTATGAAGCCAACTCTGGCCTACGTTATTTCTGGTCCCCTGGGACCCTGTTTCCCCCCCACCGGATGTGTCATAAATCAGATTCTCCAATTGAGCACCTTAAGGAGTTGGGTGTCATCAATCACGTTCTCCAATTAAATATATTCGCGGGCAAAAGCTCTGGTAGTTTAGTTACAACCATTTAAAGATAAACAGTTGGAATGGACTTTCGCCTCCAAACTGCTGCCCTGCTCTTCCACATTTCTTTCCTCCCTCCCTTTTTTTTTTTAAAAAAATAGCAACTACTAAAACAGGCATAGGAATGTTTTATGAGTTGACATTAGAAAATTAGTGATGGGAGCATGATTGAAGCATAGCTCAGAGAAGCCAAAAAGAGATTTCATTGGGTTGGTGGTCTTCCTGAGAACTTGTACAAAGCTCTGAGTACTTAGTACTAATACTTGCACGGTGTACAAGTACTATACACAAGTCTATCATCTTCCCTGAGAAACTGTACACAACTCTTAATACTTAGTACTAGTAGGCCACTTCTAAGCATTGTAACCAGGTGCTCACCCATCATGAAACCAGTGGTGGGATCCAAATGGTTTTAGCACTGGTTCGGTGGGCGTGGCTTGGTGGGCGTGCTTTGCCTAATGCCAGGGCGCAGCTTTCTCCACACCAGCTGAGACCTGCAGTGCTCATCAGCTGAGAGGATAAAGAAGAGAAGGGGTGGCTGGAAGGGCCAATCCTGCACTGTTCTCTTTCTCCTCTCAGCTGATTGTCAGAGGATTTGTCCCCCTCCTGTCAGGTGATGATACTGTCTGAACTAGTAGCACACCAGCACTGCATCCCAACATGCCTTTCTTTGTCCCAAAGATGCTTTTTCAAGAGACAGCTGGACTTTTTGGATTTTGATGTTGCTTCGCCTCGAAGAAGCTTCTTCAGCTCTGACTGGATGGTGGGGAATGGAAGGATTCATGCTCCTTGCAGACAGCTGGTCATTTGCATCCTTTTAGAGGGCCGTTGAGGCCACCTGGAGGTTCATCTGTGTCCTCGGGGTCACCTGGGTGGTGCAAACGGGTGTGGAGCCTCCTTGGAACTGCTGAAAGGATGATGTTGTAGACTGGAGACGTTGTATCCCTCCTCCTTTGTTGAGAGAGGGGCTACTCAATTGGGACCTAGATGGCCTCTTTGACCCTTCTTCCAAACCGGTGGTCCTCTCTGTCCCAAATGTGGACTTTGCTATCTTCAAAAGAATGGCTTTTGGGAATTAAATGCAGGTGGCCTGCTGAATCTTGTCCTGATGGGTTTGTTCTCCGAGGTTGTGCCGTGCATTTGTGAAGTGGCTGTTTTGTTCCTCAGTGTACAGATCTGTCTTCAAAGAAAAATCAGAAAGTCCTTTTGGTTCTTGAAAAAGCACCTTTGGGACAACCAGGACCTGGAGGATGGAGAACTTCTATAGATGCTTTCCTTTGCCCTTCTTCATGCTATCCTTCTTTAATTCATAGGATGAAACTTAAAGATCTCAAACCCCCTGAAATTTCCACGAAGTTAATTCCACCCGAGAATATACAGACGTCCATGATTATTACCCTCACAGTTGGCGGGAAAAGGTGAGCGAGACGTTCTTTGTCAAAGACCTGGAAAATAGATGTGGTTCAGGGTGGCTTTGAGATGTTTGGGGGGACTTATTCACCCAACTGAGTGGAGAATCTTGCCCAGAACGTAAAGAAATACGCTGTTCTACGGGTAAATGCGAAAATCTGGAGATTGGACCATTTTTAGATTGGATGTTGGGCAGACTGTCTCTCTCTTGTCTTTCGTGCAGTTTTATTGGTGGAAATATGGAGATCACCATGAAAACCAAAATGGACATCATGATTAAGATGACGAAGCACCCCACAAAGAACATCGCGATGGAGAAAACTGGGTGTGGACTGCATCTGCTGGCCTACAAAACCAACCTTCCCAGCAAGTGAGAACCACAAGACATATGGGGTTCAGCCAAGAACTCAGAAATCTGAATCTAGCTAGAAACAAAAGAGTGCCAATGATATGAAGGACGAGGAAGGTGTAGCTCAGGAACCATCCCCGAAATGGAGAATTACAGTGCAGGTGACCTCCAGGAAGTATGAGGGACAAGAGTCTCCACTCTTTGGTTCTGTGGTGGCCTGTTTCTCCTCATTTTGACTCCCACCTCTTGAAAACCAGACTGTTCCACTCCAATGTCCAAGGAGATCCAAGAGTAGGACTTTCATAACAGGCAGAATAGCCTTAAGGAAGGAAGTGGGATCCTCCTCCTCCTCCTCCTCCTCTCTTCTTTCTTCCTCTTCCTCCTCTTCCTCCTCTTTTCTGCTTTTTTGCTCCTCCACTTCCTCCCCCTCCGCTCCTCTCTTCTCTATTGTTCTTCCTCCTTGTCCTCCTCTTCCCCCTCCTTCTTTCTGCTTTTTTCCTCCCCTCTCCTCCCCTTCAACTCCCTTCCCTTCTAGCATTGATGATGTTCCCTAGTTGGGTCATGAAACATCTGTAAGAAAATTACCAAGTTTAGGGAGCAACAAGGACCCCACAGTTCTCCTCCGCCCTTCGTTCTTGTTTTTCCTCCTCATTCTTGTATCCTCTTCATCTTCTTTCTCCTCCTCCTCCTCTTCAACTCTCCTTCCTTCTAGCCCTGATGATGTTCCCTAGTTGGGTTATGAAATGTCTACAAGAAAGCAACCAAGCTCAAGGACTACACAGTCCTCCTCCTCCTCCTCCTCCTCCTCCTCCTCCTCCTCCTCCTCCTTCCTCCTCTCCTTCCTCCTCCTCCTTCCCCCTCCCCCTCCTTCTCCTCCTCTTCCTCCTCTTCCGTCTCCTCTTCCTCCTTTCTTGCAGATAGACAGCATTTGGGTGAGGGGCTATAAAGGGCTGGACTTGGAGATTGCCCATCCTTGATTTCATTCCAGTGGAAGCCAGCTTCTTTTCTGGATTGAGGAACCGGCTGAATTCCAAGGGATTCCACTTCCTCCTGGATTAATCTGAGGATAGAGGCAAGGTTTTATAACAAAGGTTGCAACGCACTTTTGAACAGCGTTGCACCTCAGTACAAATATTTTAAAATGCACATTTTGTTGGAAATACACACGGAGACAGAGTGTGTATGAAGAAGACACTGTCACAGATACAGGGTAGAAAAACCGCCATTTTCCAATTTTGCAATTTTTTTGCAATTTTGTGTGAAAATTCTTTGTTTGAACATAAGACTGCGTAGACGAGAACTGCACAAAATGCTTAATTGTAGCACACGCTTTTCCCAACAATAGGCTGTTGCCCTAGTTCACTCCATCCTCCCAGGGTTTGCAAGTTGATGAAACTACATAAATAAGTCTTTGATGGTTGGTCCTGATAGGAAAGAAAAGCCGTGACAATGTAACAGCTAACATGCAGGCAGCTTTGGCAGTCAATAATAGCGGTAGCCATAGCCCTTAGACTTATATACCACTTCACAGTGCTTCACAGCCCCCCTCTAAGTGGTATACAGAGTCAGCCTATTGGCCCCACACAATTTTTCAAATGAGGACCCACTTCGCAAGGACGAAAGGCTGGGTCAACCTTGAGCCAGTCAGGATCGAACTATTGGCAGTGGGCAGAGTCAGCCTGCAATATTGCATTCTAATAGATAGATTGGAATGGACAAACAGATAGATAGATAGATAGATAGATAGATAGATAGATAGATAGATAGATAGATGATATAAAGAGAGAGAGAGAGAGAGAGAGAGACGGAGAGAGAGACAGACAGAAAGAGAAATAGCACTGAGTCAACCTTGAGCTGGTCAGGATTGAACTTCTGTCAGTTGGCAGAATTAGTCTGCAATGCTGCATTCAATAAGTAGATTGGAATAGACAGATGATAGATAGATAGATGATAGATAGATAGATAGATAGATGATATAAAGAGAGAGACAGACAGACAGAGACAGAGACAGAGAGACAGAAACAGCAATAGCACTGAGTCAACCCTAAGCTGGTCAGGATTGAACTGCTGGCGGTCGGCAGAATTAGCCTGCAATGTTGCATTCTAATAGATAGATTGGAATAGACAGACAGACAGACAGACAGACAGATAAAAAACAGTAGTAGCACTGAGTCAACCCTAAGCCAATCAAGATCAGTCTCCATCTATCCATCATTAATGCCTCAACAGTTGTTGAGATAAATGAGACAAAACTAAAACACAGAATCTTGGCCTTGAAAATAAAAAAAATTGCATGGCCCAATGATAGCCCTCAAAGGAATTACTTTACTAATTTCCTGGGTCTGCTTCTCTTCTCTTCCAGCATGCTACCAAAGGTGTTGAATAAGTTTTTGAATTCCACCCTTGAGAAACTCCTGCCTGGCATGGTAAGTTTTGGGACTTTGAGTTCATACAGTCGAGTCGTGAAGGATCCAGCTGGGGCTTACTGGGGGGGGCGTGGTAGCAGTCTTCCAAGATTTGAGGGGCTGCCCCACTGACAGCATATGCACCAAGACAAATTCCTTGTGTGTTTAATCACAGTTGGTCAATAAAGAATTCATTCATTCATTCATTCATTCATTCATTCATTCATTCATTTATTCATTCATTCAATCATTCATTCATTCAATCATTCATTCATTCAATCATCCATTCATCCATTCATTCAATCATTCATTCATTCATTCATTCATTCATTCATTCAAAGAAGAGGGGACCAACCTATTTTCCAAACCCCCCGAAGGCAGGACAAGAAGCAACTGATGGAAACTGATCAAGGAGAGAAGCAATGTAAAACTAAGGATACATGTCTTGACAGTGGAACTGCTTGCCACCAGAAGTTGTGGGTGCTCCATCCCTAGAGGTTTTTAAGAAGAGACCAGACAGCCATTGGTCTGAAATAGTAGAGGGTCTCTTGCTTGGGCTAGAAGACCTCCAAGTTCCCTTCCAACTCTGTTATTCTGATATAAATAAAACTGATCAATCAATCTTCTTCAAAGGTTGCATCCGCTCCCCACCTCTTGAGGATCCAGCTTCAACCACATCTGCTGTTCTTGTCCAACAATCTCTCCTTTCTCCTTCCCTTGCCTTCCAGATGTGCCCAGCTGCAGACAACGTGATTGCCTTTATGGAGACCAAAATAGAACCCATGTTTGGTGAGTGCCTTTGTTGAAGGAACTGGGCCTGGCTAGTCTAGGGAAGAGAGAAGGACCAGAGGAGACAGGAGAGCAGCCTTCCAATATTTGAGGGGCTGCCCCAGAGAGGAGGAAGGGGTCTCAAGCTATTTTTTAAAGCACCTTTGAAGGCCAGACAAGGAAGGATGGATGGAAACTGACCAAGGAGAGATTCAACCTGGAATTTTCTGACAGTGAGAACAATCAACCCCATGGAACAGAAGTTGCCCTTGGAAGTTTTGGGAGTTTCATCACTGGAAGCTTTCAAGAAGAGATTAGACTGTCATCTGTCAGAAATGGTGTAGGGTCTCCTGCTTGGGCAGGGGGGTTGGACTAAATGACCTACCAGGTTCCTTCCAACTCTGTTAATCTGTTAAACTGATTGAGCTGTTCTGACCCATCATGTCAGCTCAGTGGGCCCCGTCGCTTCTGATGGGCAGCCAGGTGCCTGTGATGCAGAAGGTGAGAAAGGAACCAAAGCTGCCAAGAGAATACCTTGACCTGGAAGGCCACAGGAGACAGTTTGAAGATACGATAGCACCCCAAAGATCAACATTTTGAGTTTTTCCTACCTTTTGGGGGAGGAGACAATCTGAAGACCCTGTTCCCACAGTCAACTCTTCAGTTGACTTTTGCGCTCTGCCATTGATGGGGGTCTCGTGGGGGTGGGGGCTGCTCAGCTTGTCCCACTTGGGATGTCCTGTTAAGACAAAACAGGAGTGTTGGATCTGGTCAACTTTAGGCAGAGCTTTTGTTCCATTGTGTCTCTGGGAAGAAATTTTGGAAAAGCAACTAAGAAAGAAAAACTCCATACTGCTCCTTCCCAAGCTTGAGAGGTGTTGGGTTATTGATTTGGTGGCCAGAGATCTTATGATACAAATTCAGTTTGTGTTCCAGAGAAGCTCACATGTGTCAGGGTTCCGGAGATTGCCCTAATTAACTCACGAGCCCCAAGACAAGCTTCAAAAGAACCCCAAATATTTATTAGGAGCAACCTGTCGGCATTGAGCCATATGAGGCCAACTCTGCCACATGTAATATATGGTCACCTGTGACCCTGTTTTCCCCCCTCCCTCTGGGTGTGTCATAAATCAGATTCTCCAATGAAAGGGTTTAGATGTCATCAATCACATTCTCCAATGATGGATTTTCGCAGGCAGAAGATCCGGTAGCCTAGCTACAATCTTTGTAAGATAAACGTGGAATGTACTTCTGGTTTTAATAGCCGTATTGCTCCTTCAGGCTTCCCTTCCTCCTGCTTATGGCAACTCGAAAACAGGCATAGGAATGCTTTACGAGTTGACAACATTTTATTTTATTTATTTATTTTATTTGGTTGAAACTTTTTTCTTAAATGAAAAGAAAAACCACATAATCAGTAACAGAGAATCCCCAAAGAACATTTCTCCACATTTCTCCAATGGATATCCTGGTCATTTGACCATTGGGGATGATGTGGGTTTGTTGTGGTTTGCAAACCATGATATTTTTTTTTTGGCCTGGGGTGAACCATTTATTAGCCTTGCAGGTCCCATTTGTGGCTCCCCAAGGTCAATTTGGGGCTTCTAGGAGTCGTATCAATTGTGCCTGGTTTGAGAAAGGCTGTCCTGTATCTTTTCGTAGAAAAAAAATCTTTCGGAGAGAGCACCACGGTGTGGTATGAAGTGGCCGAAGAACCAGGAGTCTTCCCAGATTACAACTTGATTCAGCTCAAGGTAAGAGTGATTGGCTACATCATCCATCATTTTCACCCCACGTTGTCACCAACCAGCCTTAATCTAGAAAGAGGGCAGAAAAAAGCCATAAAAAGAATTAGGGGACTAGAGCAGAGGTGGGATCCAGCCAGTTCCGACTAGTTCTGGAGAACCAGTAACAGTAAATTTTGAGTCGTTTGGAGAACCGGCCAATCCCACCTCTGACTGGCCCCGTCATCCCCATCTACTCCCCACCTCCCATTGAGCTGATCGGCTGGGTCTTCTTTGGTTGCCCTGCACAGGAGAACAGAGCTGGAAAGCAGGTTACTGGGGTGGGGAGGGAAGGGGGACTTTGCAGTGTATCCTTCCCATGGAGTGGGGTGGAAATGGAGATTCTACAACATCCATCTCCTGCCAGACCCACCAAGCCATACCTGCCAAGCCACTCCCACAGAACTGGTAGTAAAAAGTTTTGAATCTCACCACTGGACTGGAGGCTAAAACTTATAAAGAACTGTTGCTGGAATTGGGTACATCTAGTTTGATGAAAAGAAGGACTAAGGGTGACGTGATAGCAGTCTTCCAATATTTGAGGGGCTGCCCCAAAGACGAGGCAATCAATTTATTTTCCAAAGCACCAGAGGGCAGGACAAGTCTAGTGAAGAGAAGGACCAGGGGAGACATGATAGCAGTCTTCCAGTATTTGAGGGGCTGCCCCAAAGAAGAGGGAGTCAAGCTATTCTCCAGAGCACCAGAAGTCAAGACAAGAAGCTTCGGATGGAAACTAGTCAAGGAGAGAAGCAACTTAGAATTAAGGAGAAATTTCCTGCTGTGAAGATCTGTCTGTGCATCTTAGAGACTCTGGGCCGAGTCCTTCCTTGTCAGCACTGTGTTTGGAAATAGTTACTTGGCAGCTCTCCAGGCTAGATAAGTTCTGCGCTCCTAATTACACCCTTGAAAGACTGTTTGCCAGGCCTTTGGCTGAATGCGAATGCAAGAAATTCAACTTCGTTTAATAAAAGGGATTTTTCCGGGACGAAGAGTCTGCTTAGTGCTTTTTGAGGGAAGCCTTTTAGGTCAGAACATGTGTGATTCTTGGTGCTCTCTGAGCTTGGTGGTTCTTTTGCATTTAAAAAAAATGGGAGCAAACCCCACTCCCTCCTAACACGAACGATGTAATCTTGTTGGGTAATTAAACATCTGCAAGAAAACAATCAAGCTATGAGAACAGAGGGACTCCTCATTTCAATCCTGAACTACGAATATTCTCATTTATTGGTATTCTGGCTTCTTTCCAGCCATCAACAATGTAGGATTGCTTTGCAGACTTTGGCTTGAGGTTGCAGGAGCCCAGAATAAAATTGGATGTGGAGATTAGATGTCCAAGAACAGAACCAAGTTGCAGATGACCTCTGCGCCCCACCGATCCAGTGTGTACTTTGAGACAAGTTTCACTTGCTTTTGAAATGACAGCGCTGGTATTTATGCTTCCTTTTCAAGGTTAAATTCCAACCCAATAATGGGGAAATCGTAGAAGTCGCACCTGATCCGGTTCCTGAAGATCTGCCACCAAAAGAGGAAGGAAAAACTGCTGTCTACATACCTGTGTCTACCATCAACGTTGCAATGATGTTGATGGATGGCTCGTTCAACTCTGTTATTACCAAAATTGAGGTGATCAAAGAATCAATTCCTGGATTCGGGGTGAAAAACCCACTTTGGATTCCTCGATATGCTCCCTAGATCTCTAAAATTCCTTCACAAGGGTGTCTCCTTCCAAAATCTAGATTCTAAACAAAGGGATTGGTGTGTTGGCGATATTTATTTATTCAGCTCACTTTCTTCCAGGTTGATTTCCATGGGAAGTAAGCGTTGCTTCACTTGGGGTGAAAGGTCATTGCTTGCAATCTTTGGCTTGGCTATTTCATTTTTGTTACTAACTTGAGTATTTCTCTCCCCGCCTTTTTTGGGTCAGGGTTCCACTCCTACGACTGACCAGCTGAAAGAAATATTGCCAGATGTAAGTTTATTGTGTTTTGGGGCAACTTTGTAAGAACTGACGTGATTTCAGAAGGATGACAGCTTTATAGAGATTTGTTGGGCTCTGCAAGACGTTGGCGATAGATAAATGAGAAAGAGAGAGAGAAAATGAGATGGAGAGATAGGAGATAGAGAAATAAAGATATATAAATAGATGATACATAAGGGAGAAAGAGAGATGATAGATAGGTGATAGAGATAGATATATAATTAGATAGATAGCTGGATATAGATGATATAGATAGATAGATGATAGATAGATAGATAGATAGATAGATAGATAGATAGATAGATAGATAATAGATAGATAGATAGATAGGTAGATAGATAGGTAGATAGATAGATAGATAGATAGATAGATAGATAGGTAGATAGATAGGTAGATAGAAAGAGATAGGATATAGATACATAGAAGATAGATGGATAGACAGATGATAGATTAGATGGATGGATGGAGAGAGAGACAGAGAGACAGACGGATGGATGGATGGATGGATGATAGCAAGAGATAGGATAGAGATAGATACATAGAAGATAGATGGATAGACAGATGATAGATTAGATAGATGGATGGAGAGAGAGAGAGAGAGAGAGAGAGAGAGAGACAGACAGACAGATAGATAGATAATGGATGGATGGATGGAGAGAGAGAGAGAGAGAAAGAGATGAGATCCATGAAGCCAACCCTATAGGGTCAGCTGCCAGAGAAGGAGGTCACCTCCGAGAAAGTGAAAGGCCAAGCGGTGTGTGTGTGCCTCTCTCTACCCACTCCTCAGCACCCAAACAGTGAACTTGGTGAAGGTAGTTCAAAAACTTGATTGTAGTTTACAGCCATCTGATTTTAAGGATGTTTCGTTTTCTCCAGGCTGATCTACCTTCTGGAAAATACATGAAAATTGAAATATCTCCAAAAATGAATGCCACGTTTACTGTGTCGCCTACCAGAAGCCACATGACAATCCGAATCAAAGCCTCATTCTTGTCTGTTGAAGATGGCGCCGAGCTCCTGTCCATGGACACGGTAGATCATCATTTCATATGAGTCCCTTTGCCAGAGGCCAATAGACATAACTTGCTTAGGCTCCCTCCCCTTCCCCAAATAACTTATACGATGACACTCTTGTTAAGGTTGAATTCAACCAGACCTCTCCAAGGTCATTCTACAGGAAGGAAGGGGAAGGAAGGAAGGAAGGAAGGAAGGAAGGAAGGAAGGAAGGAAGGAAGGAAGGAAGGAAGGAAGGAAGGAAGGAAGGAAGAGATAGGAAAGAGGGAGAGAGTGGAAAGGATTGAGGGCTGTCCAACTATGAGCCAGCAGTGTGCAGCAGAGCCAAAAAAGCTAACACAATCCTTGGTTGTATGAACAGAGGCAAAGAATCAAGATCACGTGAAGTATTACTACTGCTTTGTAAAACCTTAGTAAGGCCACAACTTTGGTCACCATCCTACAAAAAAAGATGATGAGACTTTGGAAAAAGTTCAGAGAAGAGCAACTAAGCGGATTTAAAGGCCTGGAGATTAAAATCTGTGAAGAACCACTGCAGTATTTTGGTATGGCTAGTCTAGTGAAAACAAGGACCATGGGGGACATGATAGCAGTCTTCCAGTATTTGAGGAGCTACCCCAAAGAAATTATTCTCCAAAGCATCAGAGGTCCCTTCCAGCTCTCTTCTCTTCTCTTCTCTTCTCTTCTCTTCTCTTCTCTTCTCTTC